CTATATTTAGGCTTACACATTGAGAGAATTTGATGAGTCAAAGTGCTTAGATGAACAGTTCCAAAAGTCAAAAGTGGGCAAAGAGAGTGGGACGAAGGTTTTATATATATATATATATATATATATATATATATATATATATATATATATATATATATATATATATATATATATATATATATATATATATATATATATATATATATATATATATATATATATATATATATTGAAATTGCAGCCCATGATTCAATGTATTCGGTCTTAACCATTCTGAGTATGAAACCTTTAGACTTCAGGGACCAGGGTTGACCTCCACATCTCCCATTTATCATTATCTCTCTCATGTGTTTTGTCTGTTAACTATCTTAAGAAAATAATTGTGGTTAACTGATTGAACTTTTTTTAGTCTTCATGAAATTATATTCTTATTATATACTCGTGTGATTTAGTATGAGAGTTGCTTGTATTTTATAGCCAAAACAGCATTACAACTTGCAACCTACCAATATATTTCAATACACCTGAATCTAGGCCATTTGGAGGTTTTGAATGGTCTTTTTGAAATTTATTACATTAGTTTTTCCTGTTAAACATGCTGCTTCTAATTATAGACTCTTAAATTAGATGCCAAAAATGCCCTCTGGTTCAATATGCTAACTTTCCTGTTAAAAATGCGAACTGGTTCAAATTGTGCTTCAATATGGTAACTTTCTTGTTAAAAATGCCCTCTATTTTCATAAACCATTTAAGCCATCTAGATGCCCATCTGGAAACTGCCCTATAAAAATGTATTTAAAGAGTACCTAAGAGTTTCCCCTCTCTCTCTCATCCAAAAAATTTGAACAGAAAGCAAATTTTTTTTTCATCTCCCTAAATCAAGTCACAAACACAGCAGTACCACTACACCAGACTACACATACATGCTGTAGACATTGAACACAAAGCAAAGCACAAATAAGCTAAAGAAAAAATTTGTGTTTAAGAACATAATGGTAAGTTTATTCCACACAGGAGTGTAGGTGGCATCTCTATCCATATCAGCAAAACAGGATTTCTTTTTTAATTTTTTTAATGAATATATAACTTTTTTAATCACATTAAAAAATTGGTTAAAGAAAGACACTTATCATCAGTTCAATATATAGACAGAAACATTAGTTGAAGTATGTTACAATTTTTGTACAGATTACAACGGACGCGGAAGATGAATGGCCCCAGAAAATAAAATTAAATAAAATTCTAAATTTATAGCTTATTCAGAAATATTAAAAGATAAACAGAATTGAAAATAAATTTCTATATCTTCAAAAAGCCTTGTTGTATGAGGACATTAAGTACTCGACAGCAAGGACATTATGCACTGGACAGCAAGAACGTGATGCACTGGGCTGCGAGGACATTATGCACTAAAAAACAAGGACATTATGTCCTAGGGCAGAATGCAGCGAGGTCTTTATTAACTAAACCTGCAAAAAAAACACCGTGGAAGGACATCGGAGTCGCCGAAGCTATCCTTAAGGTAGTAGTGCCCGCCTACTGTACCGGAAAAACATGGGCACTCTCCTCCCAGGATAAAACCTCTATCGTGTGTGGAGATTGTACGGACCAACCACACACCAACGAACAAGAACAACGTAGAAACATTGGCAACCAAAAAACACTTTGAAGGGGATTGCCGGAAATTTGGCCGGAAAATCCAGAGCTCTCTCCAAAAAAACAAGGAAGTATTTCCCTTTTTTTTCTTCCTCACGCATGAAACCACCCATTATGGAGAGTCTCCCTTTATTTGTTTTTATAACAAGGTAGTTTGAAAAAATGTAACTCCTACACCATTAATCCATGGCATTTGTGGCACATTAATAACGTGTTAATGGTGATTAATTAGCCATTAATATGTCCGTTACGCTACGCTCTGTTTAAAATTTGTGATAATCCCATTTGTGAGAAGTTGTCTAATGGTTTTGTGTATATGACGAATATATGTTTACGCTTTGCACATGTTCTTATGTATTTTTGGATTATCATACCTATACACTAAGAACCGATACGCGCTACCACTATAGCCAATAAAGATTCCATCAACGGTCTTTGGACCAATCTTTATTTTCTTTGGTGGTGGTGCTAAAACTTTTGCAAGGCACCCCCACACTTTCAGGTATTTATAGGAAGGTTTCCTATTACACCATAACTCGTAAGGAGTCTTGACGAGTTTCTTTCGGGGTATTTTATTTAACAAATAATTGCTAGATAAAATATCCTCCTTTAGGACCAATTTTCTTCTTGTCCTTGTTTCGCTTGGGCGCTTTGGAAGAACCCTCTTTGGGTGGATGCTCCACCACATTCGATATCCATGCCTCCTTGGCCTGAACTGTTGGCTCGTCCGCGTTCTCTCCCACAACAGGGGATCCTCCCTCAAGTACCTCGCAAGGTTGAGGGTGGTCAGCCAAAATAACATCCTTTACTACCATATTTTAGAGCCATTAC